ATCTTCAACCCAACTTCTTTTGTGTACTCAACAATTAAGACGTTGTTATAAAACTTCGTTCGAACCTCATCTTTGAATGTCACAAACTTTTTGAAATTTCTTTAACCCCCAGTTGATGCAGTTTGAATCTCTCTGAACAGGGCAAATGTTTTGTGTAGTTTTCTTCATGAGGCTAAGTATTGAAATTCTTTTTCATATGCTATCAGATTCTCCGTGAGATCCTACTTTGAAAATATCAAATTATTGGCAACGACGAAATTTCTGAACGATTGGCGAGTGAACGAAATAATTTTTTCCCAATTTGATATACGTCAAACTCTACCTTGAATTTTACTAAATCCATATTTTGTTTTACCTATCAATATGAGAGCATATTTGCATTCTTGAGATGGTATCATGCTTTCCTTATAATTAATTATTATAAGTATAACACAATTGTGTTCAACTTTCACTTTTTCAATTCCCCACTCTCTTTGTAGATGAACCCAATGGCCCTTGTTCTGTTGACTATTCTGATGATTACAAAGCCAGCTAGCACTATGTCTACCAAAAAAATGAATATGATCCACGATACTGCCGATGAGGTGATTGTTAGAGAAGACCCTGTATGGCATAGGAAAGTGGTGTTCATTCCAACCCCACGTCATAAGTATCGATTACATATGATGGCAGGAAAGCTTCGCAACCCAGAAAATATGGAATATGTTGATGATGAAGATTTGTTCTGGGAAACCAGGGAACAGGCGGAAGCGGCGCAACGACTGACGAAAATTACTGGTGCGAAATAGAATTTGTGCATTTTCCTACTGCTACCCAGAGTCCCAAGCATTTCGTTTCAAACTTTATTCTATAAGTGCCGATATGACCTATTATTCCTACAGAGTAATTATAACTGGTTATAGTTTGGAAAGAAGAGCCGCTTGGACGACACATTTGAGTCTGTGAGTGTGTAACATTCTTGAAAACAAAGCCCGCCTCTACTTGTGTTGATCAAAAAAAAATCCTGAATTTTCCGCTTTAATTTTTAAAAGCCATTGTAAGGATTCCTTTCACTATGTCAGAATTGTATCAACTTTCAGTTTCAACCTACAATTGTACAAATTTTCTCGTTGTAGCTTTCTGCTCCCATCCATATGTTTCGTATTTTCTGCATTTTGCTACAATCGTCAAGGTTCCTCCAGCAAATGCTTTCAAACAGTCAGGGGAGGGCGAGGGGAATACAGTTCCGCATTTTT